CCAATCAGGAGTGAGAGAAATGGACCAATCAGGAGTGAGGGAAGTAGACCAATCAGGAATTAGCTCAGGGAACCAATAGAATCTTAGGGATAAGTTCTGCTTTCCTAGAAGTAAGCCATTTCAGAGTTTAAAAAGCGAGATAATGCTGCAGGGCCAGGGAACCGAATGGTGCTGGTAGGAGGATAGTGGCCCTGCCTGGGGGTCCTGCAGTCTTTTTCATGGGGCTTCCCACCTCAGGACAAACGTTGCCACCCTGGGTTTATTCCAAAAATCAGCAAGACAAAAGAGGAGCTAGTCTTTGTGGAGATCACTCCTGTCTTCACTGGTCCCCATATATCAGAAGCAAATGGGAGCCTCCCCTACATTCCTCTGCTGGCCTGGCCAAGTGGGGAGGAGAGAGGGCTGACAGCAGCCTCAGAGGGCACCTCGGGGCCATCCATTCAGGCAGTTCAGAGACTTTCAGAGCTGGCAGGGCCCTTAGAGATGATCCAAAACAAACCTCTCCTTTCACAGAGAGGGAAACTGAGGCCAGGAGAGGGCAGAGGACTTGCTCAAGGGTGTACAGAACATGAAGAATGGAATGGGAGCAGTGGTAGCCTCTTGGCTCCCAGCTCAGGGTCCCCTCCCCAACCCCAGCCAGTCTCAAACAAGCCATGACATTGGAACCCCTCTTATCAGATAGAATGAATGGCTATTAGATTTAATTTCGACATTGTTCTGGAGGAGAACCAGAGGATAGGGAAAAATGGAGAGGGAGGAGGTGAGCAGAGCTGCTACCCAACCCCGCTGCCTCCCTCCCTCTTCTGGCGCATCAAACAGTGGCTGAGATGGGCTGAGATGAGCCAGGAGGAGGGATCCAGGTTACCTGCAGAGCAGGTCCCACGATGGCTCAGGAGAGCTCCCTGTTTTCCTGGCATCCTTGAAACAAGGACTGCCTCTGTCCCTGAGACAAGGAAGGATGGGGGAGGGGGTCCCTGTCTTTCTGCTGAAGGGCCAAGTGGGAGAGGCCTAGCAGGGGAGCCAGGGACTGACTTCATGGCAGCACCATCCCACCTGCCTTTTACCCACCTGCTAAGCTCCTGGGAACCTGCTCCTGTGAGTCTGACCTCCTTGAATCCAAAGGGTCAGTGTTTCAAAACCCACTCATTGCTCCTGGCCTGTGTATCCTGGGAGACCCCCATCCCCAAGGAGCTGTCTCTCATCGTGATGGGGGTGTTCACTTCTGGGGACACAGACCGGGTTCAAGTCCCGGCTTCCCTGCCTGCTAGTCCTGTGACCAACAGTGAGTTACTGCACTTCCTGAGTCTCAGCTTCCTTGCTGTAGCGCCGGGCTTGTGTCCCTGCATCCCAAGGTGGTTGTGGGGACTAAATGTCAAAGCTGTCCCAGGGACAGAGGGGACTGGAGATGCTGCTTGAGTCATTCTTTACCTCTCTTCACACTAATTCTCTGCATGCATGTGGTGTCAAGGATTTTAAGGCATTCACAGCTGTGACTGTAATTCACAGCCCTTGGTGAGATCATAGGAAAGAAATTATCAACTCCTGCACCCAGATGGGGTGACCTAGGCCTCCAGAGGCTGAGCGGCTTGCCCAAAGTCCTGTAGTATTTAGAGGCAGAATGCGACCAGAACCCATGGTTCTCAAATCCTACCTCAGCGCAGCCCAGCCTAGAGGTGCCAGGTGGGAAAAGCTTGAAATCTGGGGTCAGCCAAGCTGGACCCGTGGCCCTGTGAACTCAGCACACAACTTTGAATGACGTGAGCTTGCAACTTTCTGCCAATGATTTCAGTGCCGTTGGCCAGCTGTGTGACCCTGGGCAAGTGACTTCTCCTCTCTGAGCCTCAGCTCTCTCACCTGTGAAATGGGAGTTTTCCAAAGGACTAAGTGAGTTGTGGCAGGCAGGCTGCCTGACCCAGATCTTAGTATACGGTGAGTGCCCGATAAATGGAAATGTAGTAACAGTGGTGCAGTCAGTATCACTGTTAGCATCATCATTACTACCAGGAGGATAAGATGGAACGGAATCACCCTGGGAACCTCTTGCCCAAGTGACTGTTCTAGGGCAGAAGCTCTGGAAGGAGACATTAGAGACTCCCCTCACCTTGTAGGTGGTAGGGATGTGAGTGGGGCCAAACCAGTCACCCCCTGAAGACCCCAAAGTCCCAGCAACCGAAAAGACCCCACTGGGAGGACTGGTGGCATCACTCGAGGGAGCTCAGCCTAGGAAGAGAAGGAATGGTTCCCAAATGAGCTTCAGGAGACCCTGATTCAGGGACTGAAAGCTGGGGAGGCAGCATCACTCAGACACTTTTGTCCCAGATGAACAAGGATTCTCTGAAGGGAAAGCCACTGGAAGGAGGGACCAGCCTGGTATGGCGGCAGAGACTCTGTTAGGAGCCAGGAGGGAGGGTCTGACCTCACAGCTGTATGACCTCAAGTAGGTCACCTCACCTCTCTGAGCCTTATCCCTCTGGGAGGTCAGCCAGAGGGACATGCAGTCATCTAAAATCCCCCTTACAAACCTCAGCCTCGCCAGCCCAGCAGGTACCCAGCCCCAGGAAGTCTCATCATCGCCTGGTAGCAGTCAAGTGACAGAGTGAGGGCTCAGTCAGGTTCTAGAACCAGACTAGTCTGGCTTAAATCTCAGCTCGTTTCTCAAGCTGTGCTAACATGAGTAAGTTACTTAACCTCTCTGTGCCTGTTTCCTCAGCTATAGATAAGAATGATAATAATAAAACTTACCTCCTAGGAGTATTGGGAGGATTAAATGAGTTCATACATGCAAGGTATTTCGTTAGCAAAGTGCCCGGCCCAGAGTAAGCGCCCAGCAAGCATGATACCATCATTCCCCAGACATCGGCCACACAGATAAACCGGCTGCCTCCAAAAGCCTCAAGCTCTCCATCACCGGAGATACTCGAGCTGAGGCTCAACAGCCACCTGTCAGAGACTCACAGCCAAGACTGCCCGGGTGACCTTTAAAATGCTTCCAACTGTGAGCCTGTGAAATCACGTCTATGAAATTGCATATGCAGTGATTCCTCCCTCCTAACATGGCCAGGATAGGATGAGATGGGAGAGGGCTACCAGAGGGGTCAGGGGGCTCCCGGGAGGCAGAAACAGAGGAGCAGGCACTAAGGAGCGAGGAAGGAGAGCTGGGCAGGGTGACAGCAGCTCATTCTGGCTTCTCACCCCCTCTCTGCCACCGACTCACAGTGTGACCTAGAGTTACTCCCTCTCCTCTGAGCCTCAGTTTTCCCAGCAGTAAAATGATGCTGTTGAACTAGGTGTCCTCTGAGGCCACATCCAGCCACAACTATCAAACTCTGTGACCCTAAGAAGGGAGTTGGGGGAAGTTCCCACCGCACACACCCCCCTGCGAGGCTCCCTCTATTTTCCTCACCCCGACATTACCCTGACCTGCCCCCACAAGTTGGCCACAAAGGTCAGGGTCCTGGCCACTGAGGCTCCCAGCAGCATTCTCCTCCCTGAGACCAGCACAAGGCATTCCAAGCCCCACCGCCACCTGAGAGGGAGCAGGGTGTCCCTGGGCCTGGAGCCCAAGGGTGTCAACAACAACAGAGACCCAGACACTCACCCAGTGACCTCCAACGCGTTCTCCTCCAATTCAGCAAGGGACAGCGATGTTTAAAAACCAAAAGCCTGACCCGGATTCTGTGCAGTCCAATTCCAGCCACAGGAGAAGGGAGTGCAGGTGATGGGGGCAGGCTCCAGCGGCAGGGAGGGGTCTCGTCTGTTTCAGCCGGTGGGCAGGAGCTCAGGGGCCACGTTCACTGGCTCCCTTGCTGCGCATGCAGTGGGCACAGGTGTGTGAGTCACTCACCCGCCAGACCTGCCAGGCAGGCGGGCAGGAGGATAGGAGGCGGCCCCGAGCAGCCCACAAAGAAGGGCTAGACTGAGTCAAGCCAGGCAGGGCAGGGCTGGGCTGGGAGGACCAGGAAGTTGCCAGGGTAGGAAGAAAGGATGGGTGTGAACAAAGGGGGGGGGGCCTCTAAAAGGGGGTTCTGAGCAGAAGGGCTGAGTGCTGACAGCTGCCAACTGGCCCGGGAAGGGGGCTCAAGGCATGGGCACAGGGCAGGGTGGGAGGTTCCTCCATGATCTAGGACTCTTATAACCAGAGAAGCTGGGAAAGAACATGACTTTGAAGTTGGAACATTTCAGGTTTGAATTCCTGCCCTTTCCAGCTGAGTGGCGTTGTCTCTCCAAGCCTGTTTCCCCTTGTTCAACTGGAGTAATTACTGTGATTTTTTTTAATGGCTGTATAGTTGATTTATAATGTTGTGTTAGTTTCAGGTGTATAGCATAATGACTCAGTTGTACATATACGTACATATTCTTTTTCAGATTCTTTTCCATTATAGCTTCTTACAAGATATTGAATATAGTTCCCTGTGCTCTACAGTAGGTCCTTGTTGCTTATCTATTGTGTATATAGTAGTGAATATCTGTTAATCCCAAATTCCTAATTTATCTCTCCCCACTCCCCTTTCCCCTTTGGTAGCCATAGTTTGTTTTCTGTGTCTGTGAGTGTATTTCTGTTTGGTAAATAAGTACATTTATATCATTTTTTTAGATTCTAACTATAAGTGATATCATATGATATTTGTCTTTCTCTGGCTTACTTCACTTAGTATGATAATTTCTATATCCATCCATGTTGCTGCAAATGGCATTATTTCATTATTTTTATGGCTGAATAACATTCCAGTGTGTGTGTGTGTGTGTGTGTGTGTGTGTGTGTATACCATATCTTCTTTATCCATTCATCTGTCAACAGGCATTTAGTCAATTGGAGTAATTATAATAGTTCCTATATGACAGAGCTCTCACAAGAATTAAATTAGACTGTGTAGAGATAGGGGGCTGGAGGCCCGGCGGCTAGAGGACGGACAACACGACACTCTAAACACAAAGATGCCTTTTCAGGAAAGTAGGATGGCACACTCGGGGCTGGCCCTGTTTGCATTCTCATTGTCAGTATTAACCACCCCCAGATTTTAGTCAACCATCTGCCGAGCTGATTAAGAGCGTGAGTATCTGGACATGAGGGGAAAAAAGTCATTTAACTACACACACTTATTCTACCCAAACTATGTGCTCCTAAGAACCCAGGAAGGGGTCTCAAAGGAAGACAGCCCTGCCCTTAAAATGCTGACGGACAGCTTTGACTTCACACCCAAACCTGACCTGGACCCTGCTCCGCCTTCTGCTGCAGGACACTGGCAAGCAAGCAAGCCTCAGGGTCTTAGATTGGGAACATGGCGGGTGGAGAGGGGCAAACTATCTCGGGCCAAATCCGGCCCTTCACCTGTTTTTGTAAATAAAGTTTTATTGAAACAGAGGCACACCCATTTGCTTATTGTCCATGGCTGCTTTGAAGAGACAACAGCAAAACTGAGTAGTGACAGAGACTGCAGGGTCTGCAAAGCCAAAAATATTTGCTGTCTGGCCTTATAGAGAAAGCTGGCTGATCCCTGCCTTCAATGATAGAGATGATGATGGTGGTGGTGGTGATTGTGATGATGATGTTGCTAATCCTGGGTTTTGGCTTTTACACGTTTTATCCACTAAAAACCTCTCCATGCATAACTTCATATAAACCTCACAGAAGTGTCTCCCCCTTTTACAGAGAGGGAAACTGAGGCTTCTGAGAGATCAGTAACTTGCCCAAGGTCACACAACGTTCAGTAGATGGATATTCTGAATCATGGGCTGATAGAAGCAGAAGCCTCTGGCAAGCACACAGGCCTGGGGCACAATGCAAACTCCAGTAGGATTGGAAGTTCTGCCCCACGGGAGAAAGTAAACATAGGCCCGGTTCCCTGGATTCCCACCCGGAAGGCTGCCGACCTCTGGACCAGAGGCAGGCTGCCTCGGTTTGAGTCCTGGTTCCTCCACGAGCCAGCTGTGAAGTGGGAACGTGAATACTGCAGAATTAGAGTCCCCCAGAAGCCCTCCCTCAGGGCTAGAGTTTGGCCAACATTACTATTAGGGCTTGAAGTGTGAGCAAAAGGGAGGCCGCGGAGGAGCAGCCCCACCACCTGCAGGAGCAGCGGTGGGGGGCTCGCCCTTCAAGAAGGCCTGGCCTGGGAGGGGTGGTTCTGGGTCCTGGGGGCCTGGAGAGGAGAGATGCTGTCCGTTACTGCCTCCCTGGCCTCCATTCCCGCACCTCCCCTTGGCCCTGGCCGGGGACAGGCTGCCACTGCTGGGAGGCTGCTCTCTTGTCCCCAGAGCCCCACCCCAGAGGGCACTGCCTCCACCCACCCAGGAGGGCTGGCCTGGGCCTTCAACTCCCAGAAGCAGCAGCACGAAAGGTCATGGAAGGAGGGTGGGAGGGGCCAGAGTCACTCTCAGTGTTTCCTTTGGACACCTGGACCACCACACCATCCCCCACCTTCTGAAGGGTATGAGGTCCCCTGGAATTCCCTCTCCTGCTCTCTGGGGGTCTTCTCTTCTCTGGCCCCTCCTCTCCTCACCCACCCGCAAGGCCCAGGGGCAGAGGAGAGGCTGAATATTAGCTGACAAAAAGCCACGAGTTCAAAAAATAATTCAATCAATCCACCTCCACTCTTTTTTCCCAAATTGTTGGTCCCTCCAAGAGGTTAGGCGAGGCTTGCTTTCTACCCTCCACACGACAACTGGTTGCCTAAGAACACTCTGCTAGGCAAGGCTGCGGGGCAGCGTGTTGGAAGCCCCTGTTTGCCAACAGTGGCCATGCTTACCCACAGCTCGTGATTTATTCGCTGATCCAGGGCCCCAAGGTCCCCCCGCCCCCACTCACCAAGCCTTTATCCCTGGTCTTCTCTGCCATCTGTGTAGGGCCTACGCAGTCCCACACTGAGCTTGCCGCTAACTGAGGCTAAACTTTGATGTAGAAACAGTGTCTAAGTATCTAAGTAGCCTGCTGCTTGCCAGGCTCTCTGCCCTCTTCCCACTATAGGGAGAGGCTGGGTCCTTTCTGTCCTTGAATCCTTACCACCCCCTTTCCTCCCCACAAACCCAGCACCAAAAGATGCTCAGAAAGTTTTGCAGAATGAATGACTCTTCCAAGCAGCTCTAAACCAGCGTGTGTCACCCTTGGCACTACACTAACATGTTGGACCAGATAACTCTTCTTTGTGTTGAGGGCCATCCTGTGCCCTGTGGGGTGTTTCTCAGCATCTCTGGTCTCTAACCCCTGGATGCCAGTGGTACCTTCACCCCCTTGTTGTATCAACCAAAAATGTCTCCAGACATTGCCAAATGCCCTCTGGGTAGGGGGGAACAGCCCCACCTTGAGAACCCCTGCTCTGTAGTCATCAGTTCCATGTGACATCTGCACCAACGGCTAGAGAAAACAGACAGGTGTTATTAGCCATTTTATCAATAAGAAAACTGAGATGTCATAAAGATATGTGTCCCATGTCAGTTAGTTAGCGGCTCATCCTCACGAAACAGAAGTTGGAAAAGGTACAAGTCAATCTCCTGGGGACCTGAAGGATGCGTGAGGATGCTGGAGCAGATGCATGGAGACACCAAGGACCACCAGCCCCAGAGGGTCTGAAACGGCACCCCCTCCTCCTGGACCTGCAGCCAACCAGGCTCCGAGGTAAGCAGGTCCCCAGGCCAGGTCATGATGTCAGCCCAGCCAGGGTCCAGGATGAGGTGCAGAGGCCCCTACACTTAAAAACAATAAGCCAGATGACACAAAGCATGCCTGCAGGCAGAGATTAGCACAGCATCTTTCTGAGTCTTCTGAGTCAAAAATTCCAGATAGGTTCATCAAACATGGAAGTACTTCCATCAGAGGGTGTCCTGGCTGAGTTTCTTGTTGAAGGGGAGGTTGCCCAGTCCCAAACAACTCTCACTTCCTTTCTGACAACCATCCCCCACTTCCAAGGATGGACTCCATGTTGGCCCCGCATGACCTCATGCCCTGGCGAGCACATCTGAG